GTTCTTGACATTGTACAAGAACACATAAATGACCCCAAATGAAGAAAATGCGTTGCAAATAAAAAAAATTGAAATCCTAGCATGCATTTTATAAAACAACGTACTATATGGAAACTTAGGTACATTTAATCGTAAAATTATAAATATAAGGGATTTTACTCACCTTTCTGTGCAGAACAACTGAATAAACATAAAAGTTCAGCGAAATATCAGTTGGGGAATAAATAGTTTCAAGAATCTAGTCTAAACCAGCTGTTTGGGTGTTTTGTGTGCCATTGCACACATGGCGTCGCATTCATGTACTTCCGCGAAAATTCACTTAACCACCGTTTTCCCATTATGAATCTCGTCCAACCACTTTTTCCTCTTTTTTTTCGACCGTTTGTTTTCCTTTTTTTCACTGTTTTTAGCCTTTTATGCTTTACCATTGTCCTAGTGTAGGCCTTACCTACCACTATCTCTAAAATACCGGATACCCCCAAAATTGTCCTGAACTGTGCCTTTAAAAACTTCGTGAAGTGCTCAAGAGAGTGCTTAATGAAATGAAAAAACACTTTGCAAAATTGTCGAAGATGGCGGGGAGCACGTCTATGAAGCGAGACCACTACCACTATGCCACATCGGCATTTGAGGCGACGAGTTCGCATATCCAAGTAATACTGCTGTCAAGCAACCTCCAGCCCCCATAACTTTTTGAGAAAAACCATTTAGCAATGTTGATCTCCATTTTCGTGAATAGCATTCAAAACTCTATCGATTTATCCGGGTCTCCATTCAAAGTCCCACGGTAAGTAGACTACCCCGCCTTGGTCAGTGCCTACTTCGGAAGCACCTATACTTCAAGAGTAGCACGACGAAGCTAACTATCGCAAACTTCTTTTGCTCATACTTGCTAAAAGAGAATTCTACTAGTCAACTAACACGTATATTCCGCAACTAACACGAACTTATGAAATATACTCTAGTATTTCACACATTCTCTATTGCTTCTCCTGATTTGTCGATTGTTCTTAAGAATGGGTATGCCACTGACCTCAATGGGTCTTTCTGGAACGCATCGCCAATAATTTTCTCTTCAAAATCGTGACAGCGTGTTGAATTTGGATGTGGACTATATCCAGAATACAGTCGTCGGACCATGCATGCGATTGTGGCGCTCCACTTGCCATTATACCACGCCGGGCCATTGTTTTTTCGCATTAATTGAATTTTTAGCGGAATTTTTACATAAGTTTTTCATACACTAATATTTTTGAGCATAAACGAGAAATGCACGGTATGCGTTCAGTAAACAAGAAATGTTCTTGACATTTTTATGAACAGATCTACGACATCTCACCGGACAAAGCACAACAGAAAAAAAATTAAGGGAAGGCGTCTGGAGAAAGTGCAGAGTTACTGCAACAATCGAAACCAACTCGAAGTAACGGGCACTAGAGAACTTCTCGCGGTGCAAAATTCTCCATACGCACTAATCCACTATGATGAACTGAATGAATTTTCGGCAACAAGGATGCTAGAACCACGGATGCGCGCGTTACTCTGCTATTGAAATTTCGTCCTTGTCCCCATTTTGTTGTTGTAATCGCGTGCAGCTTTGAAGAGATCTTCTTAGAGAGTCGTATATATTACATTTCTTCACTTTCTTCGCCACAATGTACGAAATATTTTGCACAAAGACTTTAGCCCTTTATTCGAGAATAGTGCAAAAACTATCCTGTGCCTTCAAGCAGTTTGTTATATACCCCGATGAATGCTTTCCTTTAAGGTATAGATGTCCTGAGCTACTTTTTGGTAGTAAAACGCAAACGGTTGGCATAGATCAGTGGGCAGCAGGCTGCATACTGGGTGAACTCCTTCTTCATCGGCCACTTCTGCCGGGGAAAAGCGATATGGAACAGGTACACTGTTTTTGATTATTCGTTGTTACCCGAAATCTCAAGGCAACTGGTTTTGTAGTAAAAAGAGTGGACGTCGGGCTTGACAGAACTCTTCGCGGACGCATTCTTGTTATATATTAGGTTAGCGCATAAGTAAGGTCGTTTTCCTTCAGACTGATTTTTTCTTCGAAATTCCGCGGTCCCGTGAGTCTTCCCTACAAAACTTTCTCTTTATTCGGGATGTCGTGTATCTTCAGGCTGAAGGAAAGGAACAAGGGGACGTTAATGAAAATTAGCGACATAGGCCAATTGAGTAGCCACTTTCCCTTTCCAAAAAATTACTCATTGATATGCAGTTCCTTACTCACTTCCTCTGAATTTTATACTATTACACTGCTCCACAAACCCTTTGTTTTAATTCACAATTGATTTCTCCAATCTTGTAACCATGATGACTTTTTCAGGTCAGTTTTTTTGCACCTACCAACTTATCTTTAATCACCAACATACCTTCAATCGCATGTTTCACCTGACAGTGCTCTTGATCCTATATTTTACACAGGGTTGAAAAATACGTTGAGGGATCCATCGACCTCCAGAGAATATTTTATTGCAAGCTTGTGGAGAAATTCCGTTATCGAGAACAGCGACGAACCGATCATCGANCGATTCCACCATGGAGCTGGGAAAGTGGAGTGCTTGAAAGCAAGGAAAGGACGCCTTTCTCTGGATGCCCTCGAGCTTATTTGTGCGGAATATTTATGAGCTGCAGGAAATTACAGACTAACATTTAAACTTAGGAAACTCTGCAGGGAGAAACAGAGGAAGATCTAGAAGAGACAAGAGCAACAGTTCTGCACTCCGCAGAGAGTGGAAAGAATATCTGCAGTATCTGCCGAGCTTTGCTGATTACGATTCAAAATGGTTTGTCTTCATCTTTGAGGCAAAACGGTCATCTCGGAGGGCAATGGAGCTCGGCCACGGCTCCTTTCCCTTTGACGTGCTCCCGTATAGAAGAAGAATCCTCCAGCGTTGAACCGGGAAACCCATTTGATGGAAAAGGACGACCGCATATTGCTCTTTATGACGAGAGACGTGGAGGGTAGTGGTCACTATCGCCCTTTCTGTCCATTATAATCAATTTTTCATGGGAGGTGTCTCCAAAAGGATTGGCAGAACATTCGTAGAAGGGCAGGTTTTTTCGCGACAAGCAGTTCTTAAAGTTTCGTGAGGAAATATGAAAGGTCATTTCTCACTCAATATTACGATTTGTAGAAGCTTTTGACGCTTTCGAGACTAGTGGTTGCCGGATCCTGTGCAACAGTACGTTCCTCCACTCCTACTGTATAATGACACTTGGTGAGCTGCACAACACTTCTATGACCAAGATCTCATCATTCAAGGGAGTCACCGCTAGGGGAATAGAGACAGAACGTTATTAACTTCTCCAGATTTTTCGATGCCGCCCTTGAAAACATCATACACCGGCCGGGATAGGAGAAAGGAATTGAAGCAATGGCCGTCAATGGATTACTGCGCTTACGTTCTGCTTGTAACCCGGAACATCGAGCAGGGGGAATAAATGCAGATCGAATTTGGCAACAATCAGATTAAAGGTCGGCTTGTTATTGAATCTATAGGCTGTTATTGCTTCCTATCACCATCCTTCTAAAAGATGTGCATGTTACAATTGCACTCTCATTCAAAAGAATGCTTTCGGAGAGCACATTCGCACTACATAAAGATGAAATTTTGACAGCTGTCGAGGACCGTTTTATTAAGTTGTTCGGAAAGGAATGCGCGTTTGAGTCCAAAAAATTTTTTATTATATAACGAAACTAAACAAGATCGATTCAAATGATATTCTCCATTACTATC